CAATATTACTCTTCTATATCTATGGGAGGAGGGGCAACTACTCTGTTACAATAACATCCCCGAATTGTAGAGAGGGTCCTGCCCATACCCAGAAGAAATTAATGCTCAGAGAGGCCAAGAAGAATCTAGACAGACAGGCTTTGCTGGGGTTTCCCACTTAGTCTGTTAGCATTAGATCAAACCCTTTTTGTCCAGTCATATTTCTACATGGCAGTTCATACTTTGTTGAACCTAAGCATAAAAATGGATAATTTCTCCTGTATCTTTGGGGTTTCTTTCTGAAGGCTCATGTGTATACATGTTAAATAAATTTGTATATCTTTTCTCCAATTTATCTGCCTTTTGCGAGTTGATTTTTCAGAAAACTTTCAGAGGACCAAGAGGAACTTTCCCCTTGCTTCCTGCCCCCATGATCACCTACAGTTATTGAATAAGTGATGGACTTTTTATGCCTTTAAAAGGCACTACCTGACAATATTTCATGTTAGGATTTCCAAAGGAATGCATATTAGAAGTTTTCTGAAAGGCAAAAAATGCTTAAAAAGTGCAAACCCTCTGACCCAGTAATTACGTGTCTGGGAATATGTCCTATGAAAATAGTATGGCATGAAAAACTTCTTTTGCACAAAGTTTTAACCACAGCATTTCTTTTAAAATGATATCAAAAGAATGAAAACCAGCAAAATGTTCCTCAGGAGGATTGTGTATTATTCTGAATACCAGATAAACTATTAGGCAAACATTTAAAACGATTACAAAGACTTTGTTAAAACCTGATAAAATATGGCCAGGCGTGCTGGGTCACAGCTATAATCTCAGCACAAGGCAGGGAGGATCACCTGAGGCCAGGAGTTCAAGACTGCCGCGAGCTATGATTACATGACTGCACTCTAGCCTGGTGAGGGAGTGATACACTCTCTCTGGGGAAAAAACAACAAAAACAAAACCATGACAAAATGCTTGTGTATTGACTAGACCAGCCAAGGCTTGGGTTCTACAAAAAATCTACCAATGTGCAAAGGGTTCCCTAACAGAAGCGTAGCCCACCCCTCCCCAGCACATCCTTCCTTCTGAGCCCAATCTAGGGATGTGTTTTTTTTTAAAGAAACTTAAGATACAAAAAACTACAAAGAACAATATGACAAATATGCATATTCTACTACCCAGAATTAACATTTTATCATATTTATTTTTAGCCCCCTACCTTTTTTAAGCCATTTTTGTTTGTTTGAGAGACTCACTCTGTTGCCCATGCTAGAGTGTCATGGAGTCAGCCTAGCTCACAGCAACCTCAAACTCCTGGGCTCAAGCAATCCTCCTGCCTCAGCCTCCAAGAGCGCTAGGATTACAGGTGTGAGCCACTGTGCTTGGCCCCCCTCCCTTTTTTAAAAGGAAATAAAACACTACAGATAAAACCAAAGTCTCCTTTCCTTTCTTTCCTGGAGACAACCAGAGTTTAGTGTGTATATGTCCAGTCCATTTTTTTAAATAATTTTATGTATATATTTAGTATTGTTTTAAAACCTAAATAGTATGATTCATAATTTCTGTTTTTGTCTTGCTTTTCACTCCATGTAAAGTTTTTGAGATCTATCCATGATACAGAAAGGTCAGGTTCATTCCTTTTGACTACTGTATAATATTGCATCATATAAATATGTCGCTTTTTTTAAAGGACAGGGTCTCCCTCTGTTGCCCAGGCTAGAGTGCAGTGGTGTCATCATAGCTCACTGCAACCTCAAACTCCTGGCTCAAGTGATCCTCCTGCTTCAGCCTCCCAAGTAGCTGAGACTATAGGCACATACCACCACACCTAGGTAAATATTTTTTTGTAGAGACAGGGTCTTGCTATGTACTTGCTATATAGTATGTATTTTCCATGTACTGATAATAGAATTAACTCCAAAATGTACTAAGCGCACGTGTGTACACATGAACACACAAAGTGAGGCCAAAAGTGTGCACAATGTTGTCATTTATGTATATATACTTTTTTTTTTTTCAAAGACTAGTCAAATGCAGTAGTGAGGATGGGGGAAGTATAAATACTTCTTTATACATAGAATATCGCTGGTATCTCTGGAATAATACATAAGAAATTGGTAACAGTGGTTGCCTCTTGGTAGGGGAACTGGGTGGCTGGGAACCTTTTGAATTTTGCTCCATGTACATGTAACTGTAACTCAGAAAAATCTTAAACTCTTTTATTCCCATTTGACTTAGAATAAAATCTAATTTCTCACAATGGCCTCAAAGTCCCTACATAATTTGGGCCCTGCCTAGTTTCCCAACTTCACCTTGTAACACTCTTCCTAGTTCTTAGGATGCTATAGCCACTAGAATGTAAGTTCCTTGTGGGCAGGAATGTCTTTCTTGTTCACTTTTTGCTCTCTAGCACCTAGCACAGGGCATAACACTCAACAGGAATCCAGTAAATATTTTTCTGAAGTGATACTGAATTTGATTTGCAGTTTTAGTAAGGATAGAGATAATGCCTAGCATAGTACTTGGCACGTAGTAGCCACTCAACAGAAAGGGACACAATGTGGGGTTTTCCCTTTGTGCATCACTCAAAAGTCTGTCATGTGTATGTGAGTAGAACCTCATTATGTACTGTGCCAGAAACCAATAGGTGAAAGCCAGAAGAGGAAAAATATCAATTAATTCAGCATTGAAAATGCCCTAACAAAAAGCTGTACATATGGGAAGGGCTGCTTTAAGAGGTGATCATAGCCACCCTGCTTAATCTGTTATCTATTCTTTGTCAGGAAAAGAGTAAAAAATAAATCTGAGTGCTGAGATGAGGACATTGAGGCAAAGGATGGTTAAATAACACGCCTACAGATTAAAAAAAATAAAGGATAGAAGTAGTATTTACAACCAGGCTGTATGACTCCAGGGCCCCTACTCTTAATCACTATGCCATCCTACCTTTGTATTCACAGACATGGTAGCAGTTTGTCTAATTGGATGACAGGGTGGAAAAGTCAGCAGAAAGGAGACAGAGGAAGCAGCATGAAAAAAAGGAAGTAGAGGTACAAAATAGCATGGCACACTGGGAATTTTAAGTTGTTAGGACAACTGGAACACAGGGTACAGGGGAGACTATGGAGAGGAAAATAGGCTAGAGGAGCTATGCTTCCCTCCCCTTTAGTGAAATCCCCAAGAAGTATGGGAAAATGGAGTGGATTTAAGAGATGGGATAGGCCGGGCGCCTATAATCCTCACGCCTGTAATCCTAGCACTCTGGGAGGCCGAGGCGGGAAGATCACTCAAGATCAGGAGTTTGAGACCAGCGTGAGCAAGAGCAAGACCCCATCTATACTAAAAATAGAAAAAAATTAATCGGCCAATTAAAAATATATAGAAAAAGTTAGCTGGGCATGGTGACACATGCCTATTAGTCCCAGCTACTCGGGAGGCTGAGGCAGTAAGATTGCTTGAGCCCAGGAGTTTGAGGTTGCTGTGAGCTAGGCTGACACTGCACTCACTCTAGCCTGGGCAACAGAGTGAGACTCTGTCTCAAAAAAAAAAAAGATGGGATAGCTGGATTTCTTTTTTTTTTTCTTTTTTTTGAGACAGAGTCTCACACTGCTGCCTGGGCTAGAGTGCCATGGCGTCAGCCTAGCTCACAGCAACCTCAAACTCCTGGGCTCAAGCAATCCTTCTGTCTCAGGTTCCCGAGTAGCTGGGACTTGAGGCATGTGACACCATTCCTGGCTAATTTTTTCTATATATTTTTAGTCAGCCAATTAATTTCTTTCTATTGTTAGTAGAGATGGGGTCTCGCTCTTGCTCAGGCTGGTGTTGAACTCCTGACCTTGAGCGATCCTACAGCCTTGGCCTCCCAGTGCTAGGATTATAGGCGTGAGCCACCTCACCAGGCCTAGGATAGCTGGATATCATCCCAGGATTCCACTGACCTTGACTCTCTCTGATCTTCTTTTTTTTACTTTTATTATTATTATTTTTTTATATATTAGTTGGCCAATTAGTTTCTTTCTATTTTTATGGTAGAGACGGGGTCTCGCTCAGGCTGGTTTTGAACTCCTGACCTCGAGCAATCCGCCCGCCTCGGCCTCCCAGAGTGCTAGGATTACAGGCGTGAGCCACCGCGCCTGGCCTCTCTCTGATCTTCTTAGGGGATAATGGGTAAACAAATGTCTGAAAGTTCCTAGTGTTGTCTAGATAAATATTGGCTGAATTTGAATGTGTAGCAGATATTAGGCAAATTGAGGTCTTGGATAAAAAGTGAATATGAAGTACTCTTAAGGAAGGAGGAGGACAAGACCAGACAGTAAAAACCACTTCAGTTTACCCACATAAGGAAAGGTTTAAGTGGCAGCCTTATCAAAACTGCAGTGTTTGTTGTTCGAATAAATGAGCTGTACAAGATGTCCTTAACTCATATACGAGTAGCTGTGGTTTGTAGTCTCTGCTGCCTGGCCAAACCAGTACATTAAATACTCCCCTTGGCTTTGTGAATCTTGTCATTGCATAATTTCAGTGAAAAAAAAAAAAATCTCCGGAACAAGGTGTACAGAATGAGGACAGTACACCATCTGCCTGTGTGCATGCCAACAGGAAAATGTAGGAGCTGGTAATAATCCGAAAATTTTTTGTGCAGAAATACAAAATGGCATTTTATTTATATTTCCCTTAGCAAAGGAGTCTAATTATGTTTTATATCTTGACAATGGTTTTCAAAGGCTACAAATAATTATGCTGTTAATCAGACCCCTGGCTTGGCTTGACCAAACACAGCAGTCTGCATGATCTCAGACAATTTTAACAGGGAAAGGCAAGATTTTTTTCAGATGTGTTTCACTGTATGGATGGCAAGTGGCTTCTCACCATGGCGACAATCAGGTTGCTAGGCCAGGCAAGGCCAAGTTTGGAAGAATGGTCCCCCAAACAGATCTAATGAAATGAATTGCTCATACCACCGGCAACTTTCTTCAAGTTCTGATTAGTTTCCCATGAAATAATCGCCTGGCATATATCCAAGCAGCTCCTTTATTCATTGCTTCTTTGTCTTGCCAACAGGAAGGTCAGTCAATACTGAAACATACAGTTTGAACCAAGCATATGTGATGCCCACTGCACAATATACTGAGGTCAGTAACAAAGGGATGAAGGGGTATTTCAGCTTCCAGGAGGTGAAAGGGAATACAAATTCACAGCAGACTTCCAGAGGCCCCAGGCCAAGGAGGTAGAAAGTTTCCATCCAGTTAAAAAGATGTTTTTCTTTTCTGAAGAAAAAAAGGAGAGAAAAATCTGATTTTAGATGAGTCATCTTGGTTTAGAAACATTTCCCAGCTAAAACTTCCCCATCTGCACTGGCTTGCTGTGAATTATACCCAAGGCTAGAGTGAAAAGAATGCATTAAATTTCACATTTAAAAAAATGATATACAAATTTACCCAGTCATCTGCCTTTGCTGTTGCTTAAGCTTAGGGTGCTCAAAGAGAATCCAGCTTTGCATTAGAAGGAGGGACCCGCGCTGGCCCCGTGGGGCTCGTTGGCCCACCCCGCTCTCCACGTCCCTTGAGGCTTTCACGCTCCCCGTTTCTACTTTTGGTATCCAAACCCTCTATGATCGCCATCCATCTGGTTCTCACTCCTTTTTCCGCCCCTACTTTAGTGGCCTTAGTCTCTGCTCCGATCATGGTGCCACCTCCTCCCTTCTCTCGACCCTTCCCACCCGTTCCTCCTCCCACCCCGCCCCATTCCCCAGCTTCTTCCCCCCCCCGCTCCCTCTGCCTCGCCTCCCCTTCTCCTCCCTCTTGCCCTGCTGCCGCTCCTCAGCTCGCCTCCTTGCCCCTTCTGCGCCGCCTCCTTCCTTCGCCCCTCCTGCTCCTCTCCCCTCCTCGTTGCGGCCTGGCCGCTGTTCCCTCGGCCTCCGGCCCGCTGGCCTGCCGGGCCCCGCGTGCGCCCCCGAGCACCCGGCCCGCGGCGCGCCGGTCCTGCGTCGCCCCCCCCCTCCGCGTTTCCGGGCCCCCTCCGCCGCCCCGCCGCTCCGTCGGGCCTCCCCCGCCCTCACTTTCGCCGCGCCCCAATTCTCCCCTCTTCCCATACCAAGCATTTTACATCCACTTTATTTTCTAAGTACCCCTCTGTCCCTCTGCCACGTTATACATTGTTTTACTTCCCATTTTTTAGTTTTCATATAAAGTTTTAATTTGGGTGTAGTCCTCAAATACTCCCCTGGACTAAAGATACAACCTGTGTTGTTATGTCTGAGTGATGGGATTATGGGTAATTTCTCCCTCTACTAATTTTTTGTAATGTTGTTATATTATTGTTATAACTTATAAATAAGTTTGGTTTTTTGTTTTTTGGTTTTTTTTTGAGACAGAGTCTCACTCCGTTGCCTTGAGTAGAAGTGCCATGGCATCAGCCTAGCTCACAGCAACTTCAAACTCCTGGGCTCAAGTGATCCTCTTGCCTCAGCCTCCCGAGTAGCTGGGACTACAGGCACACACCACAACACCCAGGTAATTTTTCTATTTTTACTAGAGACAGGGTCTTGCTTTTGCTCAGGCTGGTCTCGAACTCCTGAGCTCAAGCAATCCTCCCACCTCAGCCTTCCAGAGTACTAGGATTATAGGCATGAGCCACCACACCCAGCCTTAAAAATAAATTTTAAAAGGCTTATATGACCATTTGGAGTAAATATTTAACAAGAGTAAATATAGTTTTAAATATACTTTTTTGGATTACCTGAACAGAGTCTTCAGTGAGGAAATACTATAGATGGTGAATAGTAACATGAGTAAGATTTTAATGGGAAGTTCTGTGAAAACAACAGAAAAAAAAAAACCATGATAATTTGGCTGATAAGAGAAACGTTTATGATGCTTAAAGTAATACAAGTACGCCGGACACAACTATATAGTGCTAATAATGCTTTTTGAACTTACCTGTGCATTTTTGTGACATCTAAAGATACTAAGGATTAGGCGCAAATTGGAGTTTTATTTATTTTTCAAATTGCAGTTTTATTTAAAAGAATGGATGGGATCTCTCCTTCCAAGAGATTTTAAGGTTGCTTAAATCAGATAGTATTAATCTCTAGACCTTGATGAAAAGGGCATGGTAGTCAAATATATCTCTCTAAAAAGCAGCCATTTACCTGGTGCAGTGAAGAGCAGAGGGAAGAGTGAATAATGTCCTGTTGTGGTCAGAATCAGAAAAACGGAAGCATCTCCTGCTTTTCCCACAGACAAAAGGCTACAAATAAAAATTCTTATAATAATTTCTTAAAACAACAACTGATATTACATTTGCAAATAGCTTAAATAAACTGCCTCTATTATTATAATACTTCTAGAACTGACTAAAGGATAAAATAACATACTTATTTTGCTACAAGTCCAATTCAGTTGAGAATATTTATTTTTTAGTAGGAAACATTAAACAATCAATACAAGGCAGCAAACAGAATTAGGGAATAGCCAAAAAAGAATCTTGCTTTCCTGAGTAATTGCCTTCTCCAAAGAAAGAGATGTTGTGGGGTTGGGAGCTGCCTAGTGGCGGCAGTCAGGGAAACAAGACTTGGAGTTTCATTTCCAACCCTGTAGCTCATGTCTGGGACAATGCCCTGCACCTGCTGGTGTTCAGTACGAATTCAGACTAAAGACATTAAACGTTTTGCTTTACGTTTTAATTTGGAAACTCCATGTTGCTAAATGAGCCCACAGAAGCCATACAGTGACCCGACAAATTTGCTTAATGTTCTTTCAGAGCTTAAATGATTTCTCAAGATTTAAGAAAAATACCATGAAAACAAGGTTGATTCTATTACCATTTATCTATCTATTGGGTTTTAATTATGCATAAAATGGACACTACTACATTTAAAATGTTTCTTTTTAGCATGGCACAGTGAAAATATCACAAGATTCAGCATCATAAGATTCAGGTTTAAGTCCTAACTCTGCTGCTTGCTAGCTGTGTGACTTTAGACAAGTCACAAACTCTATGAAGCCCTAGTTTCTGAAGATGTTAACAAAGGGAATAATTTATTTATCTTAATTATCTTAGAGGTTGTTGTAAGGCTCAAAAGAAAGAATATAAAACAAAAACAGTTCTGGAAAAATTGAACTGTGGTACGAATGTTAGGTATTATTCCAGAATGGACTCAATCCTTACTTTGATTAACAACACTTATCAAGGAACTAGGGGACCTTAATTTCACAGATGGAATGACACCAAAACCCACGCTTTTTCCATAACATGCTACCACTCAATATCCAGGCCTAATAGCCTGGTGTCATTGTACTTGATCACTACAGTATGCCTCAACAAAAATGCAGAAGCAATACATCCACCTTTGTATACCTCAGAACCTTCATGGGTCCAAGAATCCCAAGTTAAGCATCCCTGCCCTGTCCTAATGGAAATCTATTGCTGTACATCTTTGCCTATCCCAGTGAACATGACAAGAAGAGACAGAGCAAATAGAAAACAAGGTCATTGTGATATATGCCAGAAATGCCAACTGACTGAACTATCTCCTTACCTCATTGGAAGAATTGCTAGGAGTATGGCTTTTTCATGGACATGCCACCCAAACATGAAGGAGCTCAAGGCACAAAGAATTAGACATCGGAGAAAGCCTCTGGGCCCTTGGGGTTTAAACCAAAGACAGAAAACAGAGGGCTAGAAATAACAGGCAAAGATAAAACTTCAGTATCATTAAAATAGACTTTACAGAAACAGAGTTCAGGTGAACACAATTTGCATCATCTCTGAAAAACAGTACATCTTCAACAATTCTTCATGAAACTGGGATAATCCATCACTTTGTGCACAGTCCACCAAAAGTTAACATAAAAACTCAAAAAAATAGGCATTTGGAAGTATATATTTAACTCATTAAAATTAATTCTACTTATCAAAATTAATAATATATGATAATTAAGTTCTGGGATACACTGATAACTTATTACATCTTCACTTTGTTAATAGTAACTGAAACTATTAGGTCAAACGACAAAAGTTCATAGATATTTGGGGGCTAATAAATTAGATTTACCATATAAGCAAACAAACAACTAGCTTTGTGGGCTGGAATGTAATTTACAACAAAATGATGGCCTTCTATATGCAGTTTACAAGGCTGATATTTTAGAAACAAAGTTTTGTCTTAGTTAAAACCTGTGAACAAGTAGGCCAGCAGAGCTTAATTACCTACATACCTGTACTGCAACATAATTAAGTGGGGTCAGGTGGCTTGCTAGTACATTTAGGTCATTTAGAAACCAAAATTAAAGATGAGTGTAACTGTCAGTAGAGTTGTTTATAATTCAACTTTGTTGCTATAATGAAAACAGCAATGAAGCCTCTAATAGCATCTGATTCATTTTAGACTCTTATCTGATGCTCAAAGGCCATTGTTGACTCTCAACTCATTATCACCATCTAGGCAAAAAATCCATGCCATCCAGATTCCATTTGGAATTTTGATCATTTAGCCAAGGATGAGAAAAACAAAACCAAAATCTGGATCTCCCTGTCACAAACACTTTCCTCTTTCTCCATAGCATGATCTGCATCTCTTCCTCCCTAGGGTTTTCTTTATTCTTCACCCCACGGTGAACAGAGGGTCTAAGAGCCACTAGTAAGAATTTCTCTCACAAAGGCTTTACTGGTAATCCTTTCTCATGGTGTTCAAAGTTACTCTAAGAATTGCTAGGAAATGCTTCAATCTGCAGAATCTGCAGCCATGGAATTTATCTTATGGTTGGAAAAGCTTGAACCTTAATCAGCCACACAAAAGAAAAGCAGAGAAAACCCAAAAAATAAATACCATCTGTTGGGTTCTTACCAATATGGCAACCAGAGTGCAGATGAGGGTTGCCAAGGGAGTCACTGAGGGAAGGACTGTATGTTGGAACTGCTGAACCAAACCACTTGTCATTGAAGCCTTGGGAATCTTGTTGGGATCCAGAAGTTTCAATTTCAAGCCTACAGAGTAAACAGACATTTTATTTTGTTTTTTATTCTTAATGAATGGGACATATTTCACAAATCAATTCCTTGAGAAAAGAATAAATCTACTAAATCTTATTGCTGTTTAAAGGCCAAAATTTTATGAATTTAATTCTGTACTGTTCTACCTAAAATGCCTCTGGTCTTACATTATAATATATAAAGCAGCTGCTTTAGCATTGGAACAGGAAATTTGTGCAGCTTACAGGAAACTTGCTGGCAGGTAGCATGAACGGTAATCTGCTCTTACCTCTTAAATGAAGCAAGCTTTCTAAAATGCAGTCTGACCATGTCACACTCTAACTTTGAGTCCTTCATTTCCTATAGGAGAAAGTCTGTAATCCTAACATGGTATAGCATGTCTTCCATGATCTAGCCCCTTCCTACCTCTCCAGCCTCATCTCTACTTTGTCAAATGTGGCTTGCCCACAATGAACTAACTGTGAGTCCTCAACATACCACACTCAACACTTGTGTCCCTTTGCTCAGGCTACTCCTTTTGCCAAGTTAACTCCTAATTCAATCACTTACCTGAGAAAGCTCCTAAACCAAGCAGAGCTGATTTTCTTGTTAGCTCTCTACTATAGTGTTCACCACATTGCACTGTATTTGCTTATGAATTCATTTTTTTTTTCTTACTTTCTTTCTTTCTTTTTTTTTTTTTGTGAGACAGACTCTCACTTTGTTGCCCAGGCTAGAGTGAGTGCCGTGGCATCAGCCTAGCTCACAGCAACCTAAATCTCTTGGGTTCAAGCGATCCTATTGCCTCAGCCTCCCGAGTAGCTGGGACTACAGGCATGTGCCACCATGCCTAATTTTTTGTATATATATTTTTAGTTGGTCAATTAATTTCTTTCTATTTATAGTAGAGATGGGGTCTCGCTCTTGCTCAGGCTGGTTTCGAACTCCTGACCTTGAGCAATCCGCCTGCCTCGGCTTCCCAGAGTGCTAGGATTACAGGCGTGAGCCACCATGCCTGGCCTTTGAACTCATTTCTTCTAATATACTCTGTTCCCTAAAGGCAGGAATGATGAATTCCCCAATACACACGAGTTCAATAAATACTTATTAAATGAACCAATTCATAGGATGATGATGCAAGCACCAAGAAGCTCCAGTGTAACAGGACAAAGACAGTCTGAGCACCTGGACAGCCCTGTTTAATGCCACTGAAAATCAGTGCAATGTGGGAAAGGTGTAGACTACCAAAATATTTTCTGTTTATTCACCTTTTTCCCTTTCCCCTCCAGCCTGCTGATTCTCTTTTAAAGTTAATAACTGTCTGTCTGAAACATAGTTGCCTAATCCTGCCACTGACTTTCCATGTAAGACATCTTCAAAGAGGAAGATATATAAGTGAAGGTACAGTTTCATGACTCAGACAGGGCAACTGGCCCTTGTACCCCATACTATGTTGGCTGTTTAAAGCTTTTTTGAAATATAACTTTTAGAAATTACCTTGTAAGAAAGCAATGTACATCAAGGCTGCATTCATAGTGAGTGAGGGATAATACCAAATCATGATTTCCTACAAGTATGTATCACAAACAGTAGTAGCAGCCGCCATGCGTTAAGCATCTAACATGTGCCAAGGGCTCTGCACCTATTACTTTTAGCCCCCTGAAGCACAGAGATGGAGTAACTTGCCCAATGTCACACAACTAATAGGTGGTAGAACTGAACTCAGGTATGTCTGGCTCCAAAGTCCTGCCACAGATAACCTTGTACCTCTTTATACTTGCTTTTGTTCCTTACAACACACTGCATGGGATCAGGTAAAGTACTAGTATCCCCTTAGTATAGTGAGGAAAGTAAGACTAGAGTAATCAAATGACTTGCCAATGCCACAGAGCCAGCAATTTATGCAGGTGTGCCTCCAAACCAAGTCATCAGACTCTAGAGATGATGGGTCAACGAACTATAATCCCAAAAGCCAAATCTAGCCTTTGCCCTGTTTTTGCATAGCACTGAAGCTATGAATGGTTCTTACATTTTTAAAGGGTTGTAAACAAACAAACAAATACCCACACTTCATGTGTGTGGCCTACACAGCCTAAAATACTATCTGGCCAGTTACAGAAAAAGTCTGCTGACTACCACTACTGATCCTGCCATTTCCCACCAAGCTAGGCTGTATTCACAAATGAGAGACTGTGAGTTATTTTTAGTAAAATGATCTCAAGGCATAAATTATTTTTCATTACTACCTAAACTTAAAAAAGCATAGCCTGGCTGGGCATGGTAGGTCATACCTGTAATTTTAGCTGTTTCTACAAAAAAACTGAAAAAATAGGTATGTGCCTATAATCCCAGCTACTTGGGAGGCTGAGGTGGGAGGATCACTTGAGCCCAGGAGTTTGAGGCTGCCATGGGCTATGATCATGCCACTGCACTCAAGCCTGGGCAACAAAGCGAGACTCTGTCTCAAAAAAAAAAAAAAACACACAAAACACAAAGCAGGTTTTTCCATTTCTCTATGTGATCAGTCCTTTCAATATTAATAGTCTGAGTAAAAAGGCTTGCTACCATACCAATGACAGACAATACTTTGTCCAAAGCATTGTACAAAGCCCAGAAGTTTGGAGCCCAGTATGCATGGCAGAGGCCCCTCTTGAAAGGAAAGAGTCGGGAAAAGACTTGAGGCAGTTGATTCTGTTGAAAAGAGAAATGAAACTGATTAAACAGTCATCAATCTTTTTCACATTCAAAAAGAGAACTAGGGAACTGTCAATGGCATAGGGTGTAGAAAGTTATAAGGTCTGGGTCCCTCGTCTTTATTCCTTTAAGTAAGTGGTTATATGATCCTGAGCAGTTCACAGAACCTCTTTTTATCTAACCTTGTCAACTGTCCAGTGGGACAAGATACATAAAAACACTTTGAGTACCAGTCCATACTATTATGCTGTAAGTATAAAAATGGACGAATTTACAAGGTGCAAAGGAGAGCACTGCAGCTTATCCAAGTCTACTAGAGTGAAGAGGAGAGCAGGGAAGACTACAAAAGATGTGGTGCTTTTCAGTTTTAGTAGGAATTAAAATAATTAGTTGACTTCAGAGTGGGGAAAAAGGAGAAAAAAGAAAAACATTTGAACATGTTACATTTTAGGCACTTTTGAATATTTGCTGTTTGTGAAAGGCTGCAAAATTATTGATTTTGGAGGCTGCAAATATATTTTATCAACTAGATAAATCTGCAAATACAGAATACACAAATAATGAGGATCAATTCTGTATGTGTCTCTGTGTGTAGAGTAAAACATATACATATATATATATATATATACCTAGTTGAATATGCAAAAGAATATATGAAAAAATATAACCCTATCTTTGGAGTGTCATATTGGGTAGGAAGAGTAAGAAAAAGTAGCTTTTGCTTATTTCATATATGTCTGGCTTTATTATTTTTTCCAAACACCAACAAAAAACATGTATTACTTAAAAAAAAAAAAAAAGGCTTACCAAGGCTAGGAAAGGACCCAACGAAAAAGCAGAAATTAGGAAAACAACCAGTCCCAGGGAAGTAACACGAAGAAAGCTGAAACTGTTCCATCGAATAGATCCATCTATAGAAAAGAAACATTATCATTAACCAGGAGCATGGAAAGCCATAACTTAGATGTGCTAAAACTAGAAGTATCCCACAATAGTACAATAATCTTTACTATGTGGCAAGAGCAAAGTCAGAATGGGTAAAGGGTTTACAGGATCAGCAGCTGTGAGATACCTGTTGTGCTTCATAAAACCCTCTTATCAAGCAAACTACCAAGTCAATACAGTAAAGAAGAAAAGAAAAAAATGTTTTGCTATTATCACTAAAACTTGCCTGGTTTATTTGCAGTGAAACAGTAAGATCGTAGCAGATACACACCATAAGCTGGTGCTACGTAGAGGTAGATGTGCTTGAAATGTAGGAGAACAGCAAAGAGAAATGCTCCTTCGATATGCCTTTTCTAGGAGATTTAAAATGGAAATATCACTTTAAAGTTCAGGGTAAACGAAATGAAATAATGAATTACATCCTGAAACAGAAAAGGACATTAATGGAAAAACTGGTGAAATTTGAATGTACTGATGTTGGTTTCTTAGTCTTGATGAATGTACCATGGTTATATAAAATGGTAAGATGAGAAAATGAGTGAAGTGTATACAGGAAATCTCTGTACTATTTCTATAACTTTTCTGGAAAGCTAAAATTATTCTTAAAAAAGTTTATTAAAGGCCGGGCGCAATGGCTCACGCCTGTAATCCTAGCACTCTGGGAGGCCGAGGCAGGAGGATTGCTTGAGGTCAGGAGTTCAAAACCAGCCTGAGCAAGCGCGAGACCTCGTTTCTACTATAAATAGAAAGAAATTAATTGGCCAACTAATATATATATAGAAAAAATTAGCCGAGCATGGTGGCGCATGCCTGTAGTCCCAGCTACTCAGGAGGCTGAGGCAGCAGGATCGCTTGAGCCCAGGAGTTTGAGGTTGCTGTGAGCTAGGCTGAAGCCACGGCACTCACTCTAGCCGGGGAACAAAGCGAGACTCTGTCTCAAAAAAAAAAAGTTTATTAAAAAATAGAAAATATCTATCTTTAATAATATATTCTGAAATATAAAAGGAATACCTGGAATGTGTTTTAAAATAATCTTCTGTGTGTGTAGACTGTAATACTATTCTTTCTACTTTTATGAGATTTAAATTTTCCATAATAAAAAGGTTTAAAAATTAAAGGTAAATGTTCTACAAGCAGTATAAGGAGAACATAGGCAAGTGATTCCAACTATCTTTTATACTAATTCTAATGGATTTGTAAAGTCATTATTTCAACACATATTTATCAAGCACTAAGCCTGATGCTGAGACGTAGGAGATGTCATCAATAATAACACAGTACAAATTCTCCCTTAGGAGTTAGAGCTCAGAGAATTCAATTACTTCCACCCTTTACAGTTTTACAATAGCTCGAATTGATTTCCAAAGTGTATCTGGGAATGAGAGTATGAATGAACATATATGATGCTATGCTACCAAAGAACCAATTAAATCTTATACTATCTGGGACTGCAAACTAGTTCAGCCTCTGTGGAAAGCAATATGGAGATACCTTAAAGCGATACAAGTAGATCTACCATTTGATTCAGCAATCCCACTACTGGGCATCTACCCAAAAGAACAAAAGAGACTATAAAAAAGACACCTGAACTCGAATGTTTACAGCAGCACAACTCACAGTTGCAAAGATGTGTAAACAACCCAAGTGCCCATCAATACATGAGTGGATTAATAAAATGTGGTATATGTATACCATGGAGTACTATTCAGCTATAAGAAACAATGGTGATATAGGACCTCTTGTATATTCCTGGATAGAGCTGGAGCCCATTCTACTAAGTGAAGTATCCCAAGAATGGAAAAATAAGCACCACATGTACTCACCAGCAAATTGGTATTAACTGATCAACACCTAAGTGGACATATAGGAATAACATTTACTGGGCATCGGGCAGATGGGAGTGGGGAGGAGGGTGTGTGTGTCTGTGTGTGTGTGTGTGTGTGTGTATAAAATGAGTGCAATGCACACCACCTGGGAGATGGACACACTTGAAGCTCTGACTCCGGGGCTGGGGGAAAGGGGGGAAAAGGCAACACACGTAACCTAAACATTTGTACCCCCTTAATATGCTGAAATTAAAAAAAGAAAGAGAAAAAAACTTTTATGCTATAGATCAGGTAACTTATATAGTACTCTCAGGCTAAAGTCACCAGATATAGCACTTGATCCTAACTACCTAGAAGAACTAATTCTGATTAAAACAAAAACAAAAAACCCAGTTGACTATAACTAAGAAGTCTGAATTCTGCCTACCTCACAGGAATTTTGGAAGGCTCAAATGAGAGAACAGTCCTGGTGTTCAGCAAGGGAAACTGCCATAGGGACCATGGGAAGCCAGTTGCTTCTCTCACTGTTTCATCAGGTGTGGTCTAGAATAGGTAGGTTTAGGAACAGTAAGGAAAAAGAATGGGATGCTTCCAGATCTCTCTTCACCAGTTTCGTAACTTTGTATGATCCAGATAAGGTCTAGCTGATTCTATGGTCAAATTTTAGTTCGTCTGTTCAACAAGCATCCAATAATTATTTATTGAACACTGATTACGTCCTAAGCAATATGTGGTTTTTTACGATTAAAAGAGAAAAGTTTAACCAGACATTTATAGTTGACAAAGAACTTTAAAGCAGACTATCGAATTTGATCTTTCCAAAGTCCCTGTGAGGTAAGTAGCCTTGTTTTACAAACAAGAATATAGGGGTAAATATTTTATGGATGAAAAAATTGAGCCTAAAAGGGTTTAAATGACTTGTCTTTGGTTAATGGTTCACAAACCTGATGGTGTACCAAAATTCCTTGGAGATTTCTTAACCCTAATCTCAGAGATTTTGATGTGGTCTACAGAGGGGTGGCCCAGAAATCTACGTTTCTTATTTCTTCCTCTATAAAAGGAGAATAGGCTGGTCATGGTGGCTCATGTACTTTGGGAGGAGGTCGAGGCAGGAGGATTGCTTGGGACCATGAGTTCAAGACCAGCCTGAGCAGGGGGGCAAGAACCTGTCTCCACAAAAAATCAAAAACATTGGCCAGGTGTGGTGGCATGTGACTGTAGTCCCAGTTACTGGGGAGGCTGAGGCAGGAGGGTTGCTTGAGCCCAGGAGTTTGAGGCTGCAGTGAGCTACAATGACACCACTGTACTCTATCTAGCCTAAGCAACATAGCAAGATCCTGTCTTAAAAAAAAAAAAAAAGAATAATTATAATGACTTCACAGAAAGGTTGTGAACTTACTCAATAAGATATATGTAATACACCTAATCTGAAGCAGCCAATGCATTTGAGTAAAGTTCTGTCTGAGTAACAGAGCTCATTAGCATTAGGAAGGATTACAACCTAGTCCTGATTCCAAATCCCATATTTTTTATTATGATATTATTCATGCTTGATGGTAAAGCACCACCATCATAATTATTATTGTCTTTTTCTTCTTTTCTAAATTGCATTCCTACTTAGCTAAATTATTATTATATATTGTAAAAACTACTGGAGATTTCATTCCTACATAAGTGATCCCAACCAAATATAGAAACTCACGTTTAATTCAGGCCTGCAACATGCTAACAAGTTTTTAGAGTACAATTTTCTCATAATCAATGAATAGAATTCATAATAGATGAATTCTTCATCTGTAAAATGAAGAAAATTATTGTCAAAAGAGAAGATGGAATTTGTGAGAAACACCCGATTGTGTTTACCTGAAAGAATCGTGCAATGGAGAGTAGCATTAATCCAAATAAAAAACCATTATACTGGAAATGAATATCTGGACTTAGGTCAAGGAAAGATAACAGAGGATACCATAATGAACTGTGCCAGCTAACTGAGAACAGAAATTGCGAATACTTTCTTAATAAGTAAATTCAAGACAAATATTACTACTAGTTTAGACTTCTCATATTTTCTATAAACAGAGTCAAATCTTGGACAAACTCTTTAATTAAAATTTACATTTAAGAAGAAACCAAAGGCTGGGCGCGGTGGCTCACGCCTGTAATCCTAGCTCTCTGGGAGGCCGGGGCGGGCGGATGCTGGAGGTCAGGAGTTCGAAACCAGCCTGAGCAAGAGCGAGACCCTGTCTCTACTATAAATAGAAAGAAATTAAAAAAAATTAGCCGGGCATCGGGACACATGCTATAGTCCCAGCTACTTCGGAGGCCTGAGGCAGCAGGATTGCTCTTGAGGCCTCAGGGAAGTTTGAGTTGCTGTGAGCCTAGGGGCTGACCTGGGACGCCATCTGGCACTCACTCCCCCTACCTCCGGGCCAACAAAGCGAGACTGCCTGTTTCCAAAAAAAAGAAGAAACGCTCTCGAGAAAACTGTCTTCCTTATTTATTTCCCTCTCCGTTTACAAAGCGGCCCGCAGGCAGTAAAGCGCAAAGCAAAGCGTTTTTGCTTTTTGTCTTTAAAGTCAGGGGCCGGGCAGAACTGAAGGGACCTAACAGCATACTCGTCAAGGCCCACTAGCACGTAGGCACCTCCAGCTCGTTCATAGTGCGCATCACTACTCATTGAGTTAAGCTTTACAGTTTGAACCTGCTGGATCTTTTATTGAATATCTCCCTTTTTTTTTTGAAACGAGGTTCACTTTGTGTCGCCAGGCTAGAGTGAGTACTCGTAGTGTCAGCCTAGCTCACAGCAACCTCAATCTCCTGGCTCAAGCAACCTGCTGCCTCAGCCTCCCGAGTAGCTGGGACAGCAGGCCCCATACGCCACATGCGCAGGCTAATTTTCTATACTATGTTAGATTGCGGCCATTCAATTTCCGTATTAGTTGGCCAATTTATTTCTTTCTATTATAGTAGAGACGGGGTCTCGCTCTTGCTCAGGCTGGTTTTGAACTCCTGACCTTGAGCAATCCTCCTGCCTCGGCCTCCCAGAGTGCTAGGATTACAGGCGTGAGCCACCGCGCTGGCCTAGAATTATCCTCTTTAGAGATATTTTAGAGATAAAGAAATTAAGGCTCAGAGACATTAATCTATTCATGGTCCTAAAGTTACTATGACAACTAAGATTTGAGTTCAGGTCAGATTGAAACCAAAGTCTGGGTGTTTTCCTCCATATCAGCCTACCTCTATGAAAACTGCAAACTATTAGGCTTCTATCATTAGGAGTTTAATTACATCCAGACTCCTTAAATTTAAGAGCTTTGCCTATTAATATGTGGTAAGCCAAGATGGCAGAAACGTGTGAATGCCAGACTGTTCTCATATGTACATTATGATGTTTCCTTTCCTATAAAAGGTATTTAGAATAATATGTTATAAAACTATTTTATATGTATTAGATTAATCTAAAGACAGTTTACAAATCTTAGTATATTGTTTTATTGATGGTTTAACTGGTTCTCACATATCACACTAACTTTTCAGAAACAAAGTGGTCTAATACCAGAGTCTGGTAAAGTTGGGCAGAGACCACAGTTTTACCAGCCTACAGACCCAGACCACACACATTTTCAAAAGCACCTCACATTTCACAATCACCATTATATAAAGAATTAATCTTGGGGGGGGCGTGGCTCACGCCTGTAATGCTAGCACTCTGGGAGGCCGAGGTGTGAGGATCACTCAAGGTCAGGAGTTCAAAACCAGCCTGAGCAAGAGAGAGACTCCGTCTCTACTAAATATAGAAAGACATCAATTGACCGACTAAAAATACATAGAAAAAATTAGCCAGGCATGGTGGTGCATGGTTGTAGTCCCAGCTACTCAGGAGGCTGAGGAAGAAGGATTGCTTGAGCCCAGGAGTTTGAGGTTGCTGTGAACTGGGCTGACGCCACAACACTGTAGCCCAGGCAACAGAGTGAGATTCTGTCTCAAAAAAGAAAGAAAGAAAGAAAGAAAATTAATATTGTATTAGTATATATCACAATAAGTAAGGGAATAGTGCATAGAACATCAAGGATACGGTCCACAATTAACAACCCGAAGTTCCACAGCAGTAATACTGATAGAATAAATTTTGGCTTCTCTGTAAGTTCTTTACCTGCTTTTTTTCCATCAATGCATTTAGAGCACCTATATTGAAACATAAGGAAAGAAACAAACAACTATGATCTTCATTAGAACATTAGAACTTCTGCAGAGTAAAATATGATAAACATTTTATTAGCCATTCTTTTTACTTTTTTAATTTTTTGTAGAGACAGGGTCTTGCTATGTTGCCCAGGTTGGTCTTGAACTCCTGGCCTCAGGAAATATTCCTGCTTCAACCTCCCAAAGTGCTGGGATTACAGGCATGAGCCACCATGCCCAGCCTACGCCATTCTTGATTGCTTAAAAAGGTGGAAGCAAGCCAGGCCTATAGTCCCAGCTACTTGGGAGGGTGAGGTAAGAGGATCACTTAAGCCCAAGAATTTGAGGCCAGCTTGGCAACATAGCGAGATCTCATCTCTGCAAAAAAAAAAAAAAAAAAAGCATAACAAAAACCATGCCCCTTTGTCAGCTATGCTGATCTGAAACAAAGTTTTCATTTAATAAAACTAAAAACAGAAACAGCTACCTAAACTTATAAAAAGTATTATTATGGGCAGTAGTGTGTGCTCACGCCGTATATCCTAGCACTCTGGGAAGCCGGAGGCGGCAGGATTGCTCAAGGTCAGGATTCGAAACCAGCCTGAGCAAGAGCGAGACCCCCGTCTTCTTACTATAAATAGAAAGAAATAATGGCAACTAATTATCATATAGAAAAATAGCGGGCATGGTAGTGCATGTGGGATGCCTGTAGTCCCAGCTACTTTGAGCGAGCAGTAGGATCATGAACCAGATTAGCTATATTTGATTGAAGATAAATTGATCAGATCTTTAAAAAATATGTGTGTTGTTCATGAATGCGTTGGAGAAAAGATAATTGTAGTGAATTGAAAACAGTTTTTCCTCTGTTGATGTCTTATCTAAGTCACATTAGATTGTTGTGGTCATGAAGTTCGTGCCACCACTTTCTACCATGGCCTGGAGCAAGTCATTTAATTCCCTAAAGATTCCACTTTCCTCATTTGTAAAATAGGGCTAAAAAGTTACACCTACCTCTTATTTTTCCAGAAACTAAATAAGTATAATATATTACAGGTGGTTTGACTTGTTGCTGTGACACTTGAGCCCAGGAGTTTGAGGTTGCTGTGAGCTAGGCTAATGCCGTGGCACTCACTCTAGCCTGGGCAACAAAGTGAGACTCTTTCTCAAAAAAAAAAAAAAAAAAAAAAGTAAGTATATTGAAAATTGAGAGGGGCTGGGCACAGTGGCTCATGCCTGTAATCCTAGCAGTCTGGGAGGCGAAGGTGGGAGGATCACTTAAGGTCAGGAGTTTGAAATCAGCCTGAGCAAGAGCAAGACCCTGTCTCTACTAAAAATAGAAAGAAATTAATTGGCCAACTAAAAATATATGGAAAAAATTAGCCGGGCATGGTGGCACATGCCTGTAGCTCCAGCTACTTGGGAGGCTGAGACAGAAAGATCGCTTGATTCCAGGAGTTTGAGGTTGCTGTGAATGAGGCTGACGCTAGGGCACTCTAGCCCGTGTAACACAGTAAGACTCTGTCTCAAAAAAAAAAAAGAAAGATAATTGAGAGGGCACACACTATTTCAATCCTGAAGAGTAAAAAATGCAGACCAGAGAGATTTAGGACTCTAAATTATATAATACCAGCCAAAGTAATAGACACACAAACTTGCAGCTCCTGATTGTCCAAATAATAATTTAGAAAACCCTATGTATAATAAAAAAGTATGTCATTTAAATGTTGACATATTACTAAGTGATAATAGCAGGTAACAAAACAGTATGACTCCATTTTTAATTTTATAAAAATTAAATTCAGGCCAGGCACGGTGGCTCACGCCTATAATCCTAGCAGTCTGGGAGGCCGAGGCAGGAGGATTGCTCAAGGTCAGGAGTTCGAAACCAGCCTGAGCAAGACCTCGTCTTTACTATAAATAGAAAGAAATTAATTGGCCAACTAATATAGTTGGGCATAGTGGCACATGCCTATAGTCCCAGCTACTCGGGAGGCTGAGGCAGGAGGATCCCTTGAGCCCAGGAGTTTGAGGTTGCTGTGAGCTAGGCTGACACAACGGCACTCACTCTAGCCTGAGCAACAAAGTGAGACTCTATCTCCAAAAAAAAAGAAAAGAAAAGAAAAGAAAAAAATATTAAATTCCTTCTCACCAAGATTTATTGTTAAAAAAAATAATAAAAAAATAAAGGCCGGGCGCAGTTGCTCACGCCTGTAATCCTAGCGGGGATGTGCGGTGGCTCCAATCCTGTAATCCTAGCGCTTCTGGGAGGCTGGAGGAAGGCGCGATTGTTCAAGGTCAGGAGTTTCGAACGGCTGAGCGAGCCCGTCTCTACCAAAAATAGAAAGAAATTAATTGCCATAAATACCTTACTATACAAAAAATTAGCTGGGCATGGTGGCGCATGCTGTCGTCCACTGCTTGAAGCTGACATAAGGATCGCGTGAGCCAGGAGATTGAAATTTCTGTGAGCAGGCTGATGCCATGGCCTCACTCTAGCTTGGGCAAGAAAGTGAGCTCTGTCTCAAAAAAAAGAATCGTATGTGCAATTTCGAACCAGCTTATGTATTAACTTTATTTAATTTTATAAATTACCCTGTAAGTATTACCTCTATTCTGAGGAATACTTGAAGCTCATGGGGGAAAATCAGGACCTGTTCTAGTCTCCCTATTAATATGCTCGTATTATAATTTTTTAGATTTGTTTTTAATTGCCATATCATTAACACTTTTAACATCTTTTTATAAAATACACCCATCTATTGTCAAACTTTGGAAAAGCCACCACAAAACAGAGGTAAAAATAACTATACTATCCCCACCTATAGTCGATCACTATTACATTTGGTGCATATTGCTCAGTCTCTTTCTGTGTCTGAATCTTAATATTTA